CTTTAATGGCATATTTGTGAGTTGCTTGTATCACGGTTAAGCTGACTGATTAATCCTGTAGGCTTCAAAAGCTCGTAGCTGCAGGAAGGGCATCATTCTGGCAAAATATGAGATTAGTATCTTGCCAAAATGATGACTTCTACTTGATAAATCATGAAAATTCCCGGTTAATTTTTTCTTAAAAGTTAAACCGTAAAGGAATTTTATCGTTTCAGTCAAGGGGCCCAAACCAAACACGGTGGGCTTACATTACTTTTCGGGCAGGTTTGCCAGATATGCCTGAAAAATGACGTCAAGGCTGGTGCCAGGCCAGCATGACACAGCTCTCAGCTGGCATTACTGCGTGAAAAGCAGGGTATTTCACAGCTTTGAGGCATTCGCCATTCCTACTCGCTCTGTCAGCGTAACACCAACTCTTTGGTTCCTATTTTGCTTCTTCTGGAATCAGAAGTACCGACACATCATAATTCAATGGATAGCGCTTTCAATGGATACCCCCCCCAGCCTTTTACCATCCGTATTTCCATTCACTACTCAACAGAACCTACATATTTTCTGAAGAACTAGCAAAGATGAAGTCTCAGAGGATTGCAGGGTATTTTTGTTATCTAAACCAGCGAATTTTACCTTTTAACGGAACGCAGGTTGATAGGTTTGGATGAAATCCCAGTGCAGCTCCAGGGACACCCCGTGAAGCTCCCTCCCCAGCTGTGCTAGCGGCACGCACAGGTCTCCCTCGACTCCTGGCTGTGAAACCTCTGTCAAATTCTATCTGGGCAGTTTTTGTTAAATGCAACGAGCGTTGCACAGCTAAATCTTGCGGTCTGCTTCGCAAACGGATTCCTTGGCATGTCAACAGCCTTCCCCAGCTATCCCAGCTTCTAGCAGGGGTGAGGATGGTCTCCTCAAGCTGTCCGGAGGAGCGGGGGCTCGGCTGAAGAGGTGGCTTGGTCCTGTTGCCAGCTTGCGAGGGCCTGCTGGATGACCACGGGCAAGCGACTTCATCTGTCGAAAAGGGAGTAACAATGCTGGCCACCTTCATCAAGTGCCATGACATTTATTAACGTTTATGGGTTTGGGGTTTGAAAACCTTTAAAGTGATAATTCGCCAGCCTTTCCGCTGTCTGACCGCATTCTGTACGTTAACGTCTTAGAATCCAAAAAGCAGCTCCGCGACATCGCTAAATACATTACTCAGATGGAAAAAGCGAGGCAGAGAGAGGCCACAACGAAGCCAGAGTGGAAGCCTTGAGTTCATAACTCCCAGACACAGTTGACCACCACCTCTTACCTGCCGATACCTCTCATCTCCCTCAAAGACGCTTCTACGACACAGCTTCTGGCCTCTAGTGCAAATCCGATACACCCAGAGTTACCTCATGCACGGAATCTTTTAGAGATGAACATTTGTCTGCCTGCAGTAGGAAATGGCTCGACGTAAACTGCAAAATGAAGCTTTCACGTCAGATGATCCAAAGCTTCATCCTGTTCCAGTTCCAAAGGATAAAATCTGATAGTCAAATGTAGATCTCAAAGTCTCACTGTCTTAGCTGTCAGAACACAAAAAATATTCTTCCTTTTTCCTCTGAACTGTTAACAATACGCAAACCATAAAAAAATTAAGCTAGAGGTAAAAATGAAGGTGGTTTCTTTAACCATTTGCATTACCTGCAATAACTGCATCCAAAATGATAGTTAAAATGTGGTGTAAAGCAAGATTAAAGCAGTACTTCCAAACTTTTTTTTTTTTTTTTTTTTTTTTTTTTTGTTAAATCCAAGAGGATGTTCCTAAAACGCTCTTTTTACTGCTCTTCATCGCGATCACCGTTGGTCCCTATCAGTAAGTTCCCTTAGAAACGTATGGGGGCTGCTGTGTGCCATAGATAGAAAAGCGTCCGCAGGGAGCAGAGTGCAGCCGCTGTCCATCGTCAAGCAGACGATGGGCAATGCATGAAGACTGAGATGGCACAAAATGGCTGTCCTCTAATGCAGGGTAGGGTACTGACTTTCCGTTAACAGATTATTTAGGTTTGTCCCCTTTTACGCTGCTAGAACGGGGGAAAAAAAAAATATCTGCATATTTTTACATCATTTCCAAGCCCTCATGCAAGGAGAGCTAAGTGCAATGGTTGTAATGTTTGAAAGCTTAAAAGACAGAAGTGCTACCTAATGCACACAACATCTTTTCAGTATATTGCTTTCCTAATTCAATTACGGCTTTTAAACACTCGTCTTAGCTTTTACTTTCGCCTCACTTAAAGATACATTTTTCACATACCCATTTGCTTCTCCCTTCTTACAACCAGAGACAATCTACTGTGGTCAAGGCCAAGTGAAGTACATGAACTACAACACCCATCCTGCTACGGCAAAATTGGGGTTATATTTGAATAACTGACCCATCACAACAGCAACTAAACCAATTACATTTCAATCCTGTTAATCCGTACTTCTTAGATAGGTTTATGATGTCTTAAATTAAACAGTCAATAATTAAATAGGGCACTATCTATTTTTAAAACAGGTATTCTTAAATCATTGAAGAATCGGTATTCTTGCACTAGACAATAATGCAACCGGTAACTGATGAGCTATTTCATTAACAGCTCTGGAAGGTTTTAAATCTGGGTTTGGACAAGGTTTAAATCAGGGTTTGTGTGTCATATTACACACAACTAGTTGTGTAATATGACACAAACACAAGTAGGGTGAAAGTACTTTTGATCTTACTTTGCACCTGCTAATATGCAAATCTCACCCAAATACATCAGAAATGGCCCATTGAAGCAGATGTGCAAGGTTTGTTGCAGCTTGTCATAAACATACCTGAGACTAGTTTTTACTTTTATTATAAACAATCCAGCCACCAAGCCAGGAAACATGAAATTGTTCCTCTCCCCTTAATTGGTTTGGTGGTGGACTTGGTAGTGTAGGTTAATGGTTGGACTGGATGATCTTAAAGGTCTTTTCCAACCTAAACGATTCTATGATTCTATCTGTATCCTTCTGGTATTTCTTTTTACTTAATAGATATCACTAAATGAACTACTGAAAATGACTGAAACCAGGTACAGACAAATGCAACGCAGAACTTTCAAATCCCCAGTCAAACTAGCACAAAATGATCTTGGACTGGACAGACGGCACTTTTCTTGGAAAAGTTTTACGCTGCCGCGTAAAAACCCTGCAACAATCCCAGGTAAGCCCTATAAGGATGTTTTCTTCTGAGCATATTCTGAAATTTAGATTTCATACTCAAGGTCGGAATTGTACCAGGTTATCTGCATAGTAGAACCTGGTGAAAATAAAGAATAAACAGTGTTTTTCCAAAATATTTGTTTTGCTTTGTTTCCTATTCTTTGTTTTTCTATTTAACACAAACATGCTCAGCGCAGCATGTACTTCAGGACTGGATGTGCGTGGAAAAAACCAGATCTGATCAATGATAAATACCTTAAGGTCTTTATTGGGCTTTGGGCTAGGAACTGAACAGCCTTTCCCATCACCTACAAATACAACACTTGTCATTAATACCAAGACACGGCGATCCAGCTTGAAGTAGTGCGGTACCACTTTCTGTGAATAACTTCGACATCAACCTGAAGGGCAGTCAGCCTAAGACAGCACCTTTGCAAGCATGGCATCCATTCCACTGTTTTATCTCACCTTTGCAATGGTTCGTTGTTGCGCCAGGCATTTTTAAGAAGCTGACTGAATTTGCTGCCTCTGCTGCGCTTCTGACTGGCCCAAGAATAAAAGAGCAAGATCCAGTCGAGACCCTGAACTTTGTATCACCACTAGACTGGTCTTCAAAAATTGCTTACACAGCATTACAAATTTGAGCCGGGCTTCATAAATTTAATATTAAACTCTTGCCATTAGTGATATTTTGGGCTCAATTCTGGAACTAGTAAGTGCTTTCTGCAAGTCAATGGAAGGTGAAGGTGTTCACTCTGCCACATGTTGGTACACCAGAATACTGCGGAGCTTCAAATGAGCTGCATCAAAATTGTTGTTTTATTTAGCAGTCAGGTAAATCAATGGAGATCGCCTAATGCATCATCTATTAGGTACATTAAAAAAAACCAGCCTCAGTTTTTATTAAGAAATTTATGAACTTTGAAAAAAGCGTCATATAATGATTTACAAAACGGAAGAAACTTGCCAGCTATACAGACAGTTAACATTTTGATGGTAACATTTGGAAGATACATATTATACAATGTCAGTTATGAATAACCTGCTCACGTATTTATAATGCAAAGGGCTTCTGCAAACAACAGTTAACATATGCAGCCGCTTTCCTATGTAAAACAAAGAAAAATACACCTTGATGAAATAACACAAATGTAAAAACAGCGTTTTCAAATCAAGTGCTTCGGGCAGAAAAAAATATGTGGAAAGCTCTTCGTTATTTTAAATGAATATGATATTTTAACCTCAAGGAAGTTCTCGATATCATTGTCAATTATACACGTTAGATGCTACAAAGCCAACCAACAATGCTGTTTGTTACTTCAAACAACATTCAAAGCACGTTCCATAGTATTTTAAGCAATTTACATTATCTCAGAAAATACCCTCTATTGCTAAATAGTTTGCTACAGTGACAATCCTGAGTTGCTGAAGTAATCTGAAATCATCTGGTGAAGAACTTGCTAGTACATATGCACTAGCAGAAATAGGTGTTACTGTAACTGCGAGTGAAATATTCTTTTGTACTTTACAGGTACAAACTCCTTTTTTAATTTTCAGCACTTACAGTTTGCTAAGTTTAACCAAGGTTAAATAATTTTAATGGCAATGAAAATTTAAAAGCCATTAACGGAAAGACAGTTAATTTTCTTTTTTTCTCATACATGTATTATGGACTAGAATGCAGCTACTCACTGGAGCTAGGGCATCAGAACATAAACCCAGCTCAAAATGAGACTGTAGTAAATAAATAATTCTGCCTGTCATCCAACAATTAACAAGAACTACACCGATTCTCACTCCTGTTCCCCACAAAATGTTTGCTGTAGCTTTTTTTATTTATGTTTGTCAAAATATGCCAGTACAAAACATTCAAGAAGCACTTATTAAGGTGACCAAAAGGACAGTTATTGCTGTACAGTTACACTAGCTCTCACTGCAGGACTGGCTGCTGCTCGTTCTCTTTCTTTAGCAATCTCCATCTCTATTTTGGCTTTGATTTTATTCCAGTCAACTTCCAGCTGTAAGAACAGAAAAGCGAGTACGCAGAGGTCAGCTAACATTATAGAGAGAGGTCAAACAGATAGCTATTCGCTAGCAGGACGATTTGGAGTTACAACTACAAAGTGACCATATCAATCATTATATAGTTCTTCATGTGTAAGTGACAACTTATAGTAATGGAATGTATGAAGGCACAGTTGAGTTCTAACAAACTGAGCTTTCCACCTTTAACATAAAACAAGCGTGACGGATTTTAACAGAGAGTAATACATCTCATTGTGTCTGGCAAAAACCCATTAAAACATAAAAATAACTTGGATCAACTTGCATCTAATTTAAACGTAATTGACATCTGTGTCCTATTACGGAGAATATAGCCCTTTATCAATAATACATGCGGTGATGTCTTTTGACTGCACCTAAAGTCCACCAAGTAAACCGATAGCATATTACACTAGTTATCTGATATAACAGAAATCAGATTTCTGCTTGAAATTTGTCTTCTACATCAATAAATGTTTTAGCTTTACCTTGGCATTTCTCCAGCTGCAGAGAATCGTCATCTTCTGGCTGTATTCTATTTCAGTGAAACTTCAGACAATAGATAGAGTACAATATCCATGGTATAGTGGGGTAAAACAGTTGTGTCTCTTTCCAAAAATGCTTCACAAGAAAGAATGGATCATGGTGCATTTGATGACTATAAATCAAAAACCGGGCAAAACCGACTATAAACCAAAAACCGGGCAAAAATGTAATTGCAAAGTTCAGTTTCATTGCTGGAGAATTAAGACTGTCAAAGATGGGATGGGAAAAACATCTCAACTGCTGCACAGGGAATTTTCAGAGTAGCTGTTATTGTGTTAACTAAGTCATGAAATAACAAGGAAGATTCTCTACGAGGGAAGATGGAACTGCAATACCCACATTCTCATGTGAAAAGGTTAATCCCTCAATTCAGGATGCATTTACTGGGTCCAGGTGCCTTGGATCTGATGACTGAAATCTTTACGGAGCTCTAAGAAAGAATGTGTTTGCTTTAACAGATGTCACACAGATGCTAAACATACCACATACAGGGCTAATTCTGCCATCTAGCCCAGAGAGCAACTTGCCAGTGAAGCCAACAACCCTTGCCAGTGACACCTAGTAACTGCCAAGATATGGATTCTCAGTATACATATTAGGTTCATAATACCTTATAAATAAAGATGTGAGCTGTAACAACTAAGCACATTGTTTAGGTTCCGTATCTGATTGCAGACCAGTGCTCTCAGCTGCAGTATAGAAAAGAGGTAAAAACTCCTTACTTAAGCCTAAAGGAGCTTTAGGTGGTGAGAGGGAAACTGAGACCTTCCCCCCTCCCCCGAGAAGGAATAGCAGCAGAAAATCTTGCTTTTCTCTTCAATACCCTTAACATTTTCTTCTAACTTTCCTATGTGAGCCTGACAGGCTGCATTAAGAATTTAGTTACCACTGTAGCAAGAGCTTAAAATCCACTCCATTAAGGAGGTTCCCTCCTAGTTTCAGATCCGGCAGGCAAGACCTCCAGAACATGGATGCGGAAAGGTCTTCTTTACTCCAGGAACCTTCTGCAGTCTGAGACCCAAGTTTCAAGACCGAGTGTAAGGTGAACCAGGCTCCACTCGCGTCACTCTGCTCACACCTTGTCACTGACGAGGTGTTATTGCTTAGGAACCCTTCCAGAAACTATGGCTTTCTTCATGATTTAAAGACGAGACAGTGTTATCTAAAACATCTCTTTCAGAGACATCGGGGGATTAACATGATTTTTGCTCAATAACGTATTTAAAGTATGTAGAAGACTTACTTCCAGCATAGCAGCTGAAATAGCTGCATGATAAAAGTGCTTGGAACCTGTTCTGTTATTTTTCTGTATTTTCTAGATAAAGTACTGCAGAATGGTTCACTGGGGGGCTAGATATTGTGCAGACTTTTACTCTTGTTTAGGAAATGAAACGTCCTTAGAAGTGCTAAAAGCTAATGACTTACATTAGAAATCGAGCTTTATTGAAAGCATAATGGGCACTGTCTAATTAAAGGATCTGAGCCAACAGCTTGGATTTATTTCCTGATCCATCAGCTACAGTGGACGAAAGGCTCTGACACAGTCAAAGTACACGTCTCTTTTCATAGTTTCATCCTCAGAATGCTTAGGAACAGCGAGGGGAAGGGCAGGAAGGACACAAGGGCTGCTCAATGAAATTGCTGTCTGAGGTGCACATGTGGGTGCCCCTCATAAAGGAAATGTGCAGAAGTACTCCAGTGGAATCTAAGATACTTCTAGTTTATGAACTGGAAGATCTGTCCTCAGTCTTTAAGATCTGTGAAATGCTAATAAATTGAAAGGACCTGCTGATGATGGAGAGGGTTTCCAGAGTTTTGATGAAATTGTATATTTAGCTACTTATATCTGGCAGAATGGTTCGTAGTTCACTCTTAATATATATCCGAATACCTGCAAAGTTTGTTATTGTTGCTATCCATAAAATTACGTGAAAATGTCGAAGACATGCAAGACGTACACATTCAACCATACTAAGGTCCAGCTCCCTGTTTATAGAAAACAACTGTGCCTTCATTTGTATAATCCTTGCCAGATACTAAATATACACATTCCGTATCTGTGCCTTCAGATAAAACACATGCACAACTATTACTAGCCAAGTAGCCACACATCATGCTATGAACTTGTACTCAGATGTAAAATCTTAAGATTTGAACCAAAGAAGGAAAATGTAAGGGCAATTCCCCCCCACCCTCCCAAACTGGCTACGAAGAGCAGGCTGACCTAAGGCTGTAGGAATAATTCTGAGGAATACTTACACCTTCTGCATACTGCAAAAATCTTTTGTTCGTTTCTTTTTTACCAAAGTCCTCTAGGAACTTTTGTCGATAAGCCAGGACTGTGTCAACATGTGTCTTGTGCTTTACTGCTAGTTCTAGGGCCCTGGAATAAAACAGAAATAGGCTTGTGAATGCTCTGGCACAACTACAATCACCACGGTTTTGCAAAACAATACATTGAAAACTGTTTGGGCTGCAGGCAAAGATTCCTAATCTATAGTGCCAAGCAGTTTTACATTGGTATCAGTCACAGGAGGTTAAAAGTAGCCAGCGAAGGAGACAGTCTACTTTATGATGCACGCTGTGAAAAATATCCAACAATTATTTCTGTTGACAACCCCATCACATCACTGAAGTTTGACAATAGGAGTCTTTTTATTTCAAGGAAATAAAACAGAATGGTTAGAGTTTCGGATTCTCAACATCAAGGGGCAAAAGTAATAATTTTTAATAATATTATCACAGTCAGAAATCGCTTCTGAACAGTGTCGTAATACGCATTTATGGTGTATGCTACACAGCATTTATGAATATTCTATAGGTGGGAAAGATTAGTCATTGGATTGTACTCACATGTTTTCTTCTCAATGGCATAAGGAATACTTATGTTTGACATACACAGTTTATAGATGATACATATTAGGCAACATAACGAAAAACACAGATATATGGGGGAAAAGCAACTTTTTGCCCACAGTAATATGAATATAATAGCACAGAAATTAGTAGTAAATGGCCTCAGAAGATTCTGCTAGAAAATGTGGGGTTTTGTTTAAAGGAGAAATTCCTACTTTGTTTTCTCAGGCCTAATTCATATTTCATCCACCTACACAGTGCAGGGAGTCTGAATAGTCACAGATCTATTTTTAGCAACAAGACATTTCGAAACAGCCTTAATTCTTTGAGGGTCACACACAGTTTGAGGTATCGCTAGGGACTTTCCTGTGTTAACAATAATGAATAAGCAAAATGTTACTTAAAAATGCTTCCAAACATGTTTTGGATTTTTATCACAGAATACTTGTAGCTTCTAAACATGACAGAAAAAAAAGTTATTTCTTTGGTTATTGTCAGGATGTGATTTACTTCATCTTTTGCAGCTCAGGGCGATTACAGATAGGAAATTAGTCAGCTAAGTATCTGCAATAAAACTGATCTAAATAACTTAAAGGTTACCTCAGTAAGACTGCTTATAAACATACTGTATTTGAAGAAATACTACCTATCCCAGTTGTAGAGATTAATGTTGACTTGAATAGCTTGATAAATAAGTCCTGTTTGAAGAAGCAGGGTTTCAGCTTCTTGGGTGTTTCCACTGAAGAGCAATATATGAGCCATCCTTGACTCTTTTGATGGGAGATCTTTGATGGAATTGATATACTGAACTTTGTCAATCTGTTAACAAGATGTACAATAGTTTAATAATGGAAATTAATACATACAACTGTTTTGCAACAATTTAACTGGAAATAAATAACTCCATTTTCTTACCTCACCAATCGATGCATAGGCGATTTCTGCTGTAGCCATGTCTTTGTTGGCAACCGCCATAGCAGCTAAACATGCCCACATAGTTTGATCCTGAAATTAAAAAAAAAATGCAATTCCTAAAACTTCAAGTATTTCTTATCATCCTAAAAATGACTTCTCGAAGTATACAAGTCCTGAAAATAATGTATAATAATACAACATTTCTCAGTATGCCATTTATGGCACGGTGGTCTAAGTCTCTTATTAGAAAGTCACTACTTAATTATTTCTCAGAACTCCTTAATTATAGAAATGTTGATGTTGTGATCAGCTGAGACTGACAGTGTGGCTGTAATACTAATATTAAACCCTTGTTTTCTATTTTCATGACTTTTTCTTTTTAATACGACCTTAAGGAAACCCCACTAACTCTGAAAAACATTTAGGAAGATCCTGACATTCTGATATCTTCCATTTCAAGTTTGACAACATTATGAAAAAGATATATTACTAAAACATATTAGTTAGTATAGTTTAGGCTACCACATCTGAAAACTCTAGTTCAGACAGGAAAAATATAATTTTGAACGGACTTGTTAGTCCACATGCACTGTAGGAATTAAGTGGGTTTTTTGTTAAATATGTTCAATAACAAATTTGAAAATAAACACTTTGCAATGTGAATAGGTTTTTAGAAGCAGCATAGGATTACTATTGATTTCAATCAGAATAAACAGCTATGCTGCGTATGCTCAAACATATTGCCATGCCCTGTCTCACAATCACTTTTGTATGAGACAAAATTGATAAGACCCACTGAAGCCAATGACACACTAATTTAGCCTGAGGCTGTGGTTTCACTATCACCATCTCTGCATGTGTTCCTACTCTGGCCACGTGTTCCTACTCTTTACCATGATTCAGGACAAGATAAACCTTCCTGCTGGTAGCCTATAATTTGGGAGAATTAAAATTGTTCAGAGAATCAAACGCTCCTAAAATCTCTGTCATGTTCTCTTCCCATTTCCCTATTATTTAGAAAAATTAGGCGATAAAATGCTGAAAGCTCAGCCTGAAATTATCCAAGAGACCAAGTTTCTAGAAGTTTTTCACCAATAGGTCTTGCTGTTCTCACTTTCCTCAGAAAGATGGTCCAGCCAAAGGAGGTTGTAGTGAGGGGGGTGTTGGTCTCTTCTCCCATGTAGTTAGCGGTAGGACGAGAGGAAATGGGCTCAAGCTGCGCCAGGGGAGGTTTAGGTTGGAAATTAGGAAAAATTTCTTTACAGAGAGGGTGGTCAAGAATTGGAACAGGCTGCCCAGAGAGGTGGTGGAGTCCCCATCCCTGGAAATGTTCAAAAAACGGGCAGAGGTGGCACTCTGGGACATGGTTCAGTCTAGTCTACCCTTGATTGGCTTAGAGTAGACTTGGCAGTGTAGGTTAATGGTTAGGCTGGATGATCTTAAAGGTCTTTTCCAACCTAAACGATTCTATGATTCTATGATTTTTTTATTACTGATTGGAAAGACTTTGAACTGTCTACCTGGGTTGCCAAAGTCAACAAAATAGCCCTGTATCTCCATGAAGAGTTTATGAATCATGAAAGATAAACGAAGTACTCGAGGCAAGACCTGCTGTGATGGCTCTCTGTTTACCTTGGTGTAAGGGTATTCCAGGTCATCCCTCAGCCCAAACACAAATTATCAAATAGAAAGGATCTTCACACTGTCTAGTTTAGGCTGGTTTAGGTTACCTTCCATCAAAGGCAAAACCCTTCTTTTGTGAATCAATGGAAAGGAGAAGTCTTCAAAGACTGAGACCTAGGTACCTAACTTGGATGCTTAAAACCAGATGATGTGAGTACTTTTGACACTGAAAATAAAGATTCTGGTACAGTTTTTTTGAAAGGCCTTCCTCACTTGTTGACAGATACGAACTAATGAGGAAAATTAAGTCTATCGCAGCCGAAACCAGGACAGCTCATAGAAAAAGGACAGTGAAAAAACATTATACCTACATTGAGATTTCACAAAAAAACCCACCAAAAATTATAACCATTTTTCCTTTTAAGTATGATTAAACTCATTGGATGACTCTACCCACAAGAATGAAGAGGATGCATGAGAAGTTTGACAAAAAAAAATCCTTGAATTAGAAAACCTGCATAGTAATCAGAAAGAAACAATATGATGAATACTACCACCCAATACAGATGTTTTATTTTTAAAGATGATGCATTTAGATTACTCAGAAAAGTTAACATAATACTGTACTAGAAATTTGAAATCCCAGTTCCCACTGCTAAATACTGGAATAAAAGCCTGCTATTAAAGGGGTAACACTCAAAATAAAAATCATTATACAAACCAAGTTATTTGGATGTGTATTGATTTAATAATGCGAATAAAAATATTTGAAATACACATTTAAGGTCATGATAATCATATGAAAGTGCTAAACTCTTTTCTAGGAGTAAATGAGGAAAAGAAAGCAGGGTTTGGGGGGGGGGGATTTTTTTGTCTGTTTTAAAGACTGCCAGACTCACCTCATCTGTTGCTGTTGCCTAAATACATACAAAAGAAAGCAAAGGAAAAAAAAAACAAAACCAAGTGAAATAAAATATGAAAAAATACTAGGCAACTGTTTGTGGAGATGCAGATAATATTTAATGGGTTATATTAAGGCCTAGTCCTGAAAACTTCAGCTTATTACTAACTTCTGTGAGTACCTGTGTTCAATCCATCTGGACTTTGGTGTGAACAAAAATAAGAATTTTTATTATGCATAATGAAAATTATGGAATTATGTATCTGTATATTATGTAATTATGAGAAATGTATAATTTTTCATGACCAGCCCCAAAATAATCAGCAACAAAGCAGAAGAATGGAAATGAGACGTAACATCTGATAGGCAATTATCATCATTAAAGTAATACTTGAAAACATAAATATTAGAGTGAAATTGTATCTGAATGTTCCCGATAATTAGCATTTACCTTGACAAAGCGACACAATCTGACAGCATCTTCCCATTTAGAACTACTAACATATTCATGAAGAATCGCAGGATAAGGTGAAATATTAAGGTGAATAAGTGAACCATCTGCTCTTCTAATTGTTATTTGATTTCCCACAAAACGTACAATCTGGGGATTTTTGCTAAATTCACTGGGTAGAGAGAGAAAGGTAAGTTAATATTCACTTCTTTCTTACTGAAAAGAACATTAGGAATTTAAAGAAATCTTTGTTTCAAAATTACAACATGATTATACTTCATTTTCAGAGCATATAAAAATCTAAGCACCTAGTTATTCAACAGTTACATCCAACAGGTAGTTATAATGTTCTCTAAAAATAAAATGACAGTTATGCACATTCACTGGCTGTAAGGCAAATGCAAACTGGGGATTTGTGCAAAAATTTTCAAATACATTTTTCAGGAAAAAATACTTGGGCTCCCATAACTCTTAGAATCAAATAATGAATTCAGGTATTCTTTATGAAGAATTTCATATCACAAAGTATACGGGCTGAAGTAAACATGTAAACATGCTGAACTAATATTATCTATGACCTAATATCTTGATACTTTTAATTTCCAACAGATACTTTAAACAGATCTTCTTTTTTGTTTTTTTTACGAACAACTAAAGACTATTTTGCGAGATATGATTAAAATTTTGCTTTTGCATCAAGATGCTATTTGACTTTTAAACTGCACATCATCATTTCAAGGTGTGTGTGTGTATAT